TATATGTAGGTCATACGACCGTAATAAATAAATAAATAAAAATAAAATAAAAAGTCTGATACAATCTGATTTTAAATCTCCTCCGCTTGACTTCAGATCCATTCCATTTTTCACTCATGTTCTGCCCTCTTGGGACCGTTTTTTGAGTGTTCACCACCGACTTCAGTAAAAAATTGAAAATTAGGACAAATCGCGCTAACAAAAAGAAACTCTAGCATAAAAATGCCTCAATAAAGTAACTTCGTAATTTTTTGTTGTATGTCTGCAGAACTTAACTTAAGTTGTTAAAAAATATATATAGAAAGAAATTTATATAAAGTAGAAAAGGTTAGGTCCTATTGCTCGTTAAAAAATTAAGTGTTAGATATATTCTACTTTATACAAAATACTAAAAAGTACCTAAATATGTAAAATACTAGCCTTTCATTGCCTCGCGTTGTTATTTTTTATGAACAAAAAATATTTAAGTCATACAATTAACATCGGAAACGAAAATGAATATGCAATCTAGTACGGAAAATTTGTTTTTGCTTCAGGAGTCCAAACACTGTTCTCTATATTTGTACTGTTCTATAAACCTCAAACCTCTGCGTGGACAGCAATAGTTAATGATGAGGTTAAGTTCGATTTGAGATGGTTAACTTTTTGGTAAGGACATTGTATAAGGTACTTCTCAAATCTAAAATAGGACTTTTTTTCAAGTTGAGAAAATGCTAGTTCTCAACATGAACTCTAATGTGATTCTCCAATTGGTCCCAAACATATCATTGAAATACTGAATAGTAAAATAACGCAAAAATGATAGAATACAAGATTGCGCTCATCAGAGAGGATTTTTGAGAAAACTTTTTTGTGACGTCAGACTGGTACATTTGCGACAGAGAAATGCCAAAACTTGAGCAAGAATGGAAGAGGAAGAAGAAATTTTGCAAGAAAAACGATAACAAGTTGCACAAGTGTGACGTCATACAAACAGCGATGCTGTCAAGGTGCTGAGAGCGGCATAGCGGTACCGAGTTGGACGCCACTGTTGCTCTCTACATCGTGAAAATAACTTATACCTTTTTGATTGAAACGACATACATATAAGAATTTAAATATTTATGGCCTT